TCCGAGCCGGAGGGTCCTCATTGGCTGACCAAGGCAGTCTGGCATTTGCGGCGTTGTTGGCAGCGCAATCGGCGAGGAGTCTACGGCCGCGACAACGTTTACAAACGCCGAACGTTCAAGCGTGTCTTTGGCCGCCGCGTCAATGGCCTATTGCAGTGTGGCTTCCCTTAAGGCCCATTCATGTCGTTCGGCGCTCTTCCGCGTTGCCGCAAGTCGGAGCATGGGCGCTGGGTCGCCGACGCCAGGCGTTTGCAGTCGACAGTGCCAGGGGGGCGCCGCGGGGCCGCGGATCACGACGGGTTCAACCAGGTTTGTTTCTGCGACTCGCCAGTGCCAGACATTCGAGTGCACGTCGACGGGTTGCGCGATGCGCAGAATCTCGAGCTCGCAAATATGCGGTTAACGTGTTGCGGCATGCAATTGCGGCCGTCTGCGCTCTCGCCGAGGACTCGAGCGCCAGACGTGGCGAGATATCGATTGGCACGGCAGCGGTTATATTCATTGCCGGGGAGTTGGCGCAAGCACTCGTGGAAGTGGCGAATGGGCTCCATACCCATTGCGAGCAATGCCCCGCTCACTATCTCACCAGCCTTAGCGACCGAGAGATGTAGCTTAACTTGGGGCAGCGCCCTGCGGAATGGCGCAGCATTTGGCTCGCCGCCAAGCCGACCATTAAGTGCAAGGTGGGGGGCGTTGACAGAGCGAGCTTCCCTCGCCGCAATTTATTGGGCCGTGGCCCCAAGCGCCGCGAGAGCCTTTTCTGGCAGGCTTGGTTCACGTCGCGCGACTTCGGCCAGTGGGCTTTTCACGGGCGGCAATGCTGGGCCCGCGGAGCGGATGTGATTGCCATGCGAACAAGCAAGGCAGTCCAATTCTGGTACCCTACACCTGCGCCCTGGATACGTCTTACTGGTCAGCCCTGGGCGCCTGCCATCCCCGCGCCGACTCCATCGTTCGCCAGAGGGGTCGGGGATTGCTGGATAAACGAGGAGGAGAGAGGCCAGGCGTGCAACGATACAACGTACATAGGCCACGCGCAGAGAGAGCGCCGCAGTCCACTTTGCCGTTAGAGCACGCCGGTATGCCAGGCCGCGCAGTGGCAGGCAGGAAGGGTAGCTGTGCGTCTGCCGAGCTTGTACAACATGTGATTGAGAAAATCACTGTGTGGCCCTCATGAGTTCTTCGGCGTTGCGACCTCATAAACGTTGTCAGACTTTTCTCATCCGTGTCCTATTGCCCTGTGAGCGCGACCCGCCGCGCTTCACATGCGGATTGTATGGTGGCGCATACAATCCGAAAGCGATCCCAATCATCAACGCAGCTCCCCGTAATTATCATGTCTCATTATATCATGTTTTTGTGTGCCACGCACACCCGACTTTAATGGGCACTCCAGCTGGCGCAGTGAATGCGCTGTTGTATTATCCCACCATAGCTCTTCAAAGTACATGTCCCTTTCCTATTACTGACACCTTCTCCGTTGCTTTGGCAGCTGTGTCAGCCGAGGGGGGGCGTTAAAACATGCAGCGGGATTGCCACTTGGAGTTTTCATGCAACTTTTTGGCTCAAGCTTTTCACGGTCGGAACGCTGACTCACCCAGGCGTCGCTGACAAAACAAGCGCGCGCTACTACGTTGAATCCCCCAGAATATTGTGCAGGAGAGGACGCGGAGGAGGGGGGGGAGGCGGAGGGGGAACATTGGCCACCAGTGCTAATCACAGATGTGTTCCAGCGTTAAGGCGTCGAGTCCAAAAAGCCAGTTTGCGAGCAGTGGCGCGCCTGTGCGTGGCTCGCCAGGCATGGAAAGCAGGCAAGCAACGGATATATCCAAGATAGGGAGCGCATGGCGTGGCCTGTTAAATCTGCCCGCTGGGATCCGGCTTGTTTGCGTGATGCCATTGGCGCTCCAGGTCTGGGAACAGGCTTTGACAAATGTCGCGGACTTGGTGCGTCACGGTTTTGTTCTCTGAGCCGGAGGTGTGTAGCACTGCCACCTTTTCGCAAAACAGGTGCTGTTTACCAGGTGTAGCAACGCCCCGGTCACAATATATGTAGCTTTCGTATCTGTCTTGTTCAAGGCCCGCGCGATGGGCAAGGACAAAGACTTCATATGTTTAAGCCGATCATGTCCACTTAATATAGTATCCAAGAACACTCTAAACAAAGTCTGTTGACAAATGTTCGTGCTCTTGTAATTCTTCAACAGGTATCTCTGCTATTGACATTGTTTTCAGAAACCGCCTGTAGAAGTTCATGCCCGGCGACAATTCAAGCGAAGAGTTTCTTTGATCGATGCATTATTGTGTAAGCATTTTTCGGAATAGAGCCGAAAAGTGTTTTCAAGGAACCCCTGCCAATCAGCGGGGAGGAAACGATACGTCTGTTGTCTGACATCGCAGAAGGGGGGATGGTCATAGCAGAGCCCACAAAGCAGAACCATCAGTAATGGACCCTGCAGGGCCACTTATTCCTAGTTCCGAGAGCCGAGAGCCGCGTAGAGCGGCGCGCAGTCCTGCACCGCCCGGATCCACAGAAGAGCAGTGCAATGGCAGAGGGACAGGAGGTGCAGGAAAAGGAAGAGGAGCAGGAAGGACTGGTGCAACTCAGGGTGCATCAGCGATGTTGCAATACAGCTTCCCTGCGAGTTCCTTCCTCATGTGTCCCTACACGGATTCGATTACAATGCGGGGAGGGCCCCGTTGAAAGACAGCCATGTGAGGATCACCAGTCATCCCAAAACATGGCTTGCTGGACTTTAACTCCGCGCAGCAACGTGACTGTTGCCCTCTGGTAGCTCAAAATCGTGCTAGACAGGAGGTCCTAGGGTGTCAACGCCACGAATCAATGTGATTGATGCGCCCTGGCAGTCTAACATATTTTTTGAGCACCGTTTTTGGGATCTCAACCCTACGAACCCTTGAACTTGTTGCACTGTTTGAAGACGAGTGTGCACGGTGTTAAGTCGAGAGCCACATTTTGCAGAACGAGTCGCCTTCAATGTTTGAAATCGCTGCAACCTGTGAGGACGAATGTGCGCGGCGCTGAAGCAAGGGCAGCATGTGTGAACGCCACCTACACTCCATCCTTGACGCTGTTGAAACTTCAAGCCTCTGGACCAGAAGGGGTGAGGGAGTCTCTGGCGAAACTGCCTGGCCCGCCGTACTGACACGTCTGGGGGTGCGGCAGGGAGAAGTCATCTGTGAGGGCACGGGACGGAGGGATGAGCAGGGAGGGAGGATTGCTTGCCGCTGCGCTGCCCCGCTTGGAATATTCCTAGCCCTCCCGAGGGCCAGCCGGGCAGCCGCCCAGCAGGCACCCAGCAGATTCAGAGGCCTTCAGGCCACACGCCCTCCTCCTCCTCCTCCTCCTCCTCCTCCTCCTCCCGCCTCCCCTCCTCCTCCTCTCTCCTCCTCCCTCCTCCTCCTCCTCCTCCTCCTCTCCTCCTCCTCCTCCCTCCCTCCTCCCTCCTCTCCCCCTCCTCCTCCTCCTCCTCCTCCTCCTCCTCCTCGGACGGGCGCTAGCCAAAACACCGTGCAGCGCTGAGAGCATCCACGTCGAGCCAGTCAGAGTCGGTCTTCGGGTGCCTGCCAGCACAATAGCGGTTCCAATCATATTTAGACGGGCGGGGACAGTGCGTCATTTCGTTGCACTTACGATTGTGATCCCGCACATACACACATTTGTCGAGAAACCTTGGCACCTGATGAACATGCACAAAGCGGGATCATCAGAGCAGGACACCGCAATGCATTTGTGGCCAATCTCTTTGAGCTTGCTGCCACAGAGTTAGTGCGTCTGATTGCAAATGCACGCCGGTCGTTGAAAGTAGGTATGTCTAGCTTCCCAGATCCCAATCTACTTCAAGCGCCCTCCTACTTCAAGAATCGACACGCTTTTGCTGTGCTTTGTTGTTCTCTGGGAGGATCTGGACCCAATCTACGATGTCCGCCTTCCTACTTCATGTTTCTACCTACTCCTTCCGACCGACGTGTACTGTTGGAGGGGACGGCAACACGACCGCGTCGCCTTCAAACATTGCTTGCGCTGCCACAACTTGACCCTCCAAACCCAGGACTGGCGGGCCCTGGGAACGGTGACAGGTGGCTCCCGAGGGGCTCCGGTGGCTCGGGCGAGACCACGGGGAGTCCACGCCAGGAGCAACCTGGCAGCCAGCACGCAAACTGTACGAGTGATAGTGCCCTGTCGAGCTACGCACTGGTCGTGGCGAGCCTCCTCGTGAGCCACAGCACCAGACACCAGCCAAGGCGTTGCCAGCTTTGCAGAACTGAGGGTCAGAGTCGCCCTCAGCCCGAGCAGCAGGCATGTGGCCTTTGACCTCACGAATCTGACCCATCTCAGAGCCAGCGGCCCACACGAACATACCAGCATGGGCTCTTGTGGAAGACAGTTGTCCACTGCAGAATTCTGACAGTCGCTGACTCAATCCGAACCTTCCCATACCCCCAGTGCGAGCAGCAGCCTCACCGGCCTGGGCGGACTGGGGAACAGGGAAGGGGAGAGCGAAGGCGTGACCCAACTCCCGCCCAGAATCGGATCCACACACACACACACGTCCATCCCGTCCACGAGATATCTCGAATGACAGATCGTATGTGCAGGAGCCATCCCTGAATAACTTACCTTGAACGAAGTAGTCACCACGGGGCTCGGGTCGCACGAGTGGAATACAGTCGGCTCAGCCTTGGTGGGGGCAGGGAAGAAGTCACCAGGATGAGAGAACATGTCGCACGTGCACAGCACTCGACCGTTCCTGCTGAGCCCCTTCCCAGTCTGAGGGCTCGAATTCAGCCTCCTCCTCCTCCTCCTCCTCCTCCTCCTCCCCCCTCCTCCTCCCCCCCTTTTCCTCCTCCCCCCCCTCCTCCTCCCCCCTCCTCCCCCCTCCCCCCTCCTGGAGGGAGAGAGAGAGAGAGAGAGAGGAGGACCGAGAGGCCCTCCGCCGAGGGCTCCCCGCACCCGAGCCCCGGCGCCGCCGCCCCAGGAGCCGCCGGCCAGCTCGTCCTCGTGCGCGGGGCCGCCGCAGGGGGGGGGCGGGGTCGGGGGCGGCCGACACGGGTACGGAAAGAATGGGTACAATGACCAACAGCAGTTTTTTTTTGTTCATCGTGGGCAGGACTCGCTGTCCACGCCGCCGCGGCCTGTGTCAATTCGAGACAGGAGGCCGCCTGCCCAACAGCGGCCGCTGTCGGTTTGGGACAACATTTGCTTGCTGTTGGGCATTGTGCCCATTCTTTCCGTGCCCATTTCGGGCGTCCAAAGGGGGGGGGGGGGGGTCGGGGGCGGCCAAGTGGGGGGTGACGACTAGGGGGGGGGGGAACTCACCGACAGAACTAATCGTCGATTCCCGAGAAAATCTTGGGAAGAATATGGGAGTTGGGGGAGAAGACGAGGACCCAGAAAATATTTGAACATGTCGGGAATCCTGGGATTTGTGTGTGTGTGTGTGTGTGTGTGTGTGTGTGTGTGTGTGTACGCATTTGTGTGTCCCTGGGCCTCCTCAACCAGGGGGGGGTGGATGTCATGGCCAGGGCCATGATATCTCCTCAGATCTCATGGCGCCTCTTCTCACTTCATGACGTCCTTGGCCCCCATCCCGGCCGGCCGCGCACATGCCGCCCGCCATGATTTCCGCCCCCCCTCGTGGACGCCCCCCTCTTGGCCGCCCCCGAGGGGGGGGCGGGCGAGGGGCGAGCTCCAGGAGCTTCCTGGTTGAGGGCGCAGAGAGGGGAGGAGGAGGGGGAGGAGGAGGAGGAGGAGGAGGAGCATGAGGAGGAGGAGGAGGAGGAGGAGGAGGCGGAGGAGGAGGAGGAGGAGGAGGATGATGCTGATGATGATGATGATGATGAGGAGGAGGAGGAGGAGGAGGAGGGGGAGGGGAGGAGAAGGAGGAGGAGTAGGGGGAGGAGGAGAAGGGAGTCAGAGGAGCAATCGGGGGCAACGTTAGGAGGGAGTTGGCATAATGAGGGGGGAGCGGATGCATCGAAATCGAGTGGTTGGTGCATCGACGCTGCATCGACGATGCATCATCGATGTCAGGGCGATGCTTCGACGAGGCCAGGAGTCAGAGGAGCAATCGGGGGCAAAGGTAGGAGGGACTAGGCAGAATTGGGTTGAATGCATCGACCTCGAACGGTTGCGGCAGTCGCTTCACGCGCGAATCAGCCACGCGAACGAAGACCTAGCATGTTTAGATTCGGCAGGTAAATTCAAGACGCGAGCTGCTCAAACTTATCCTTTCAGCATGCGTCCTTCGGTGTGTCGCCTCGCCAGCTTGCTGTCGCATATGTGAAAGCCAAGCCACTCGCCAGATCACGTAAGGAGTGGGGATGGGACTTCTGTCGGATGCCCGAGCCTCTGGATGTTCTCGCCCAGCTGTTGGCTGCTCGCATAATCATCTGAGATGGGCCATCAGCGCTGGGTCTTGAAGCGATGTTCTGACGCGCGATACATTGTCGTCTAAGCCTGGCGCGGGAAAAGAGTACTAATCATGATAACGGTTGTGCTTATGATGATTTTGATGGTGATGGTGGTGGTGGTGGTGATGATGATGATGATGATGACGGTGGTGGTGGTGACACTGATGTTGATGAGCACGATGATTATTTAGCGCGCCCAAGAGGGGACAGCCAAGTGAGTCTGCCCTTCCGCGGCCTGGGGGGAAAGAGGCATCGTCGTCGCGGTCCATCGTCGCCATCGCCGTCTGGCTAAAGTCCGATCAGAATCGGTCGTTGGACCCCCCTGGGGTCCAGCTTGGGTTCCTCTTCTCGCCGTATCCAGCCTTGGCAATAGGAATTTCCAGACACGACCAACACCTTCGAGACGACGACCACGACGATGTCGCTGCCGCCTGTGGCATCGTCGTTGTCGTCGTCGTCGTCGTGCTCAGCTTCGTCGTCGTCGTTATCCCCGCCGTCGCCGCCGCTGGCGCCGCCGTCGTCGTCGTCGTCGCCGTGCAACTGTCAAACGTTGATCTAGATCCACCCCCGGAGCCCAGGCCAGCCAGTTGTCCGATCTACGTTAAGTCGTGGCGACGAAACTCTCCAGAAACGCTCCAATACCTTCGAAACTGTGACGCCGCTGCTGTCGCCGCCGCCGCCGCCGACGTCATCGTCGTCGTCTTCGTCGTTGTCGTCGTCGTCGTCGTCGGCGGCGGCGGCGGCGTTGGCGTCGGCGTCGGCGTCGTCGTCGGCGTCGGCGTCGGCGTCGGCGTCGGCGTCGGCGGCGTCGGCGGCGTCGGCGGCGTCGGCGGCGGCGTCCGCGTCGACATCGGCGTCAGCGTCGGCGTCGGCGTTTGCGCCGGCGACGGCGTCGGCGACGGCGACGGCGTCGGCGTCTGCGTCGTCGTTGTCGTCGCCGAGAACCGTTCAACATCGGTGCGCATCCTGGTTCGTTTTTCGCCCGCCGACCGCCGACCCTTGAGAGCCATGGGTGCGCCTCTGAGAAGCATTACCATAGATGCTTCTTGGCGCCGTGTGTCCCTGTGGCGAACCGAAAACCGTGCTCCAATGGAACCCTGTTGGGTCGTTTGGGCGCCCTCTTGCGAGCCCTTGGGGCCTCTTGGAGGCTTGTCGGGGGCCCGTTGGGGCTCCGTAGGGGGGCATTCGGGGGGTCTTGGGAGCCATCGTACTATGGAGGGCAGCTGCCCAGAGTCTCTTCGAGTTCCTCCTCTTGGGTTCCTCCTGGGGCCCTCATGGGGGTCTTTTCATTAATCTTGAGGGGCCTCCCAATGGGTTCGAAAGCGGCCCCCGTAGGCCAGAACCGAGAAGAAACAATCGAACATCGAATACCAAGGACGTCGTCGTCGTGCCGCCGCCATCGTCGCTGCCGTCGTCGCCGCCGCCGCTGTCGTCGTCGCCGTCGCCGTCGTCGTTGTCGTCGTAGATGCCTACCCCTTCAGGAGATCTCCAGCGGCCTCCGTAGCCAAAACTTCCCAACAAGCTAGATCCGCGAGCCTCGAACCTCGACGTCGTCGTCGCCGTCGTCGCTGCCGCCGTCGATGTCGCCGTCGTCATCGGCGTCGCCGTCGACACGATCCGCGACCCTCGATCCTCGATGCTCGGCCCTTGACCCTTGACTCCCGGTCCCCGATCGTCTATCCTCGACCCTCGATCCTCGAATCTCGGAGCTAGATCCTCGAACCTCGAATCTGCATCCTCGATTCTCGATCCTTGACGCTCGACGCTCGAACCTCGACCCTCAACCCACGATCCTCAAACCTCGACCCTCGAACCTCGACCCTCGAACCTCGAGCCTGAATCCTCGCATCTCGAACCTGAGCGCTCGAACCTCGATCGTCGAGCCCCAAGCCTCGATCCCCGAGGCTCGATCCCCGAGGCTCGATCCCCGAACCTCCAGCCGCGACGACGACATGGTCGCCGCCGCCGCCGCCGTACTCGTCATCGTCCTTCCTCGGCGGCCCTCGGCGGCGCCTCTGTGGAGGCCACGTCGTCGTCGTTGTCGTCGTCGTCGTCGTCGTCGTCGTCCTCGTCGTCGTCAGCGTCGTCGTTGTCAGCGTCGTCGTCGTCGTCAGCTTCGTCGTCAGCTCCGTCGTCGACGTCGTCGTCGTCGTCCCTCGGCGGCCCTCGGTGGCAGCGGCCGGCCACCTCGGCAGCCCCGCGGAGAGAGGCTGCCGCGCTCCACCTGGCTGCAGGGCTCCGGGGCGGCCGGCAGCGCCGCCGGCGCCGAGCCCGCGCCGGCCCCGCCCGCGGAGGCTACGGGCGGCGCTGTGTCGTCGTCGTCGCCGTGGTCGTCGTGGTCGTCGTCGTCGTCGTCGTCGTCGTCGTCGTCGTCGTCGTCGTCGTCGGTGGCTTCGTCGTCGTCGTCGTCGTCGTCGTCGTCGTCGTCGTCGGTGGCTTCGTCGTCGTCGTGGTTGTCGGCGGCGGCGGCGGCTGCGTCGTCGGCAGCGGCTTCTTTGGCGTCGTCGGCGGCTTTGTCGTCGTCGTCGTCGTCGCCTAGGCGACGGAGGGTCCGCTGTCGTCGTCGTCATCGTCGTCGTCGTTGTCGTCGTTGTCGACGTCCTCGTCGTCATCTTCCTCTTCCCGTCGTCGCCACCGCCGCTGTCGTCGTTTTCGCCGCCGACGCCGTCGCCGCCGTCGTCGTCGTCGTCGTCGTCGTCGTCGTTACCGTCATCGTCGTCGTCGTCGCTGC